GTCGGACAATGAACGGCCGCGAGAATCGATATTTTGACGCAGTGATAATCGCGTCGGTTTCCACCGCGAAGTATCGACAGATGGTGACGGGGATTTCCTATAAAAAGCCACCCGGGATAATTCGGATTGATCGCTTCTATGTTCGTTAGCCCCCCCCCCCCCTCCCACCCTGCGATCGATCCGAATTAATGCAAATTGAGCCGGCAATTTGATCTGGTTACTGGGCCAGACTGCGCCCAATAGTAGCGTTGTAACGTTATAAATCAGACCTAACAGCTTCGGACTTGTCACGTCTGACGTAAGGACGTTTAATTGCCAGTCTGCCAGTATGTCGCAAGATTCCAGGCAAGACAGTGACGTCCGTGACCGTCTTCCCTCTGAGGCGTTTCTTCTCGAGCCACGGGTCTCGATGCAAATCCTTTTCCTTTCAGGCAAAATCCTTCTTATAACCCTTTATAACCGTTCCCTTTAAAGGGGTACATAAGTATTTCGTGTTGAAAAAATCGAAATTTTTGTTTCGTTGGTTACTAAAGTTTAGGAATATTTTTAAACGAAAATTCATTGAAAAATTTGCAAAATTACGGAGTAACAAGAGTCTGGGGGTGGTCAATGCAGGTGCACATATGTATAAATCGACCCTACTATATATGGTTGTACAGAAAGGGTTAAATATGTTCCCCGTCAAGGTTAACATTAATTCGAGCCGTAAGTGACTTCCTACAAGAGGGGGACTCAAGGGACTTTTTTTTTTTACCCCTTCATTCCCTTATCTGCTCGTGAACATGATCCCCGGGGTTGAGCCGTGGCGACGACCAGCCCTGGAAACACGTTGGACGACAGCGGAGGGGAATCCCTTCATGTTTGTCCAACCGGTCCGCTACACCTGACCTATGCGCATAGAAATTGCTGTGTAAGCGGTGCAGCACGCTGTACGGGGAGGAATAGTCAGTCGTCGGGGCGTAGATTTAGATTAGACACGGATTAGTCCCGGGGAAAACTGCTATCTACCGTTTCCCGGTTCCTCGGGTGTGCCACCCCACCTATCCGCGAACATCCGCCTGCGGATACGTCGAACCACGTCACGGAAATTGCTCAGACGACGGTCCATCCCCTAACCCCACCCCTCCCACGCCACATCTTTTCGTCGACGTTCCGCAAATTAACTTATAAAAACCACCGAGAGCCGCGCAGTCGGTTGATCGCACGGTTACTCTATTCCACGGGTTACTTCGAGGGGATCGGGAACCTTATTTGTACAGGGTGCACCGGAGATTGTGATACAAAGAAGGATGATCCACCGAGGTAACAGTAAGACCAAAATGTGAAACGAAGTTTCCTTTTACGAGGCTCCCCGGGGACGAGAAAAATGAGGATTTAATATTGGTTGGGTATTAACGCTGCGTGTCTCCACTTGAGAGTTTTCAACCCCGAGGGTCCCTTTTGTTTAAATACATGTGGCCTGTAGATCCGATGAATTTTTTCCAAGGAATAAAACTGTTAAAACTTCTGATAATTGTTTACAAAAACGTACCAAAGGCAAAGCGATTTTTCGTTGGATGAGTAAATGAACAGAAAATATGTAATCTTGGAATGTTTACGTTTGGGGTGAGATTGTTGCAAATCGACACGCGACCGCAGGCATCCGACAATTATATGAAAGGCACAAGGTGCTTCCTTTTCTATACTTATTCTATTATACTTACAAATGCTTAAAAAATATTAATAAAAAAAAATAATCCTAACTATTGTGACATTGGTCACGCGCCACCACGCGAGCTCAATCAGCAAACTGCGAGTTTTGATTGGTCCGGGTTTTTCGATAATATCTCGTTAACAAAGGCTCGGAGAACTTTTTCGCTAAGGAAAAAGTTTTTTCAAACCACCCCAGGAATCACCCATTTCAAGGACTTACCTATTTTCGAACACTTTGTATATATACGTACTTTAGTAGTTAATAAGAATTATTATTGGAATACGTTCTGACCTTTTCATTTTACGATTACCGTGACAAATTTAGAAATTTATAAGTGGCCCTAATCTCTTGACCAGGGACTGTATTTCGAGAGGCAATATAATGTATGACCTACCATTGGTCCAATAGCCTCGGTTATTATCAACAAGACCGAAGAAAGAGGGAAGAGATTAGTATATTCCTAAGATAATAAGTACAGTGCATCGTAGGACCTCGTGTCGTGCGGATCGGAATAGAAGCTTAGAGGCAAAGATATTCTACCTCGACGTGCGACTTCATCCCGAACAAATAAGTTTACTCGAAGACGTCGTGTTCGCTCTAAAGTGTCTTCAGCCTAAGGGAACACACGCACACCGGGGCAAATTGAAACAACCGCCCCGCCCCATAGGCGGGTCCCCTTTGATCAGTGTAAACACAATCGCGGGCGTTAGATTGACGCCGAGAAAATCGTGCAGTCTCGTTGAAATTTTGTGGTACGTGGTCAACGGACACAAAGAAGCGTCTCCCGTTCGGTTGGAACGAGGTCTGCTTGGAGTTTTCGTTTCGTCTAAAGTGCTTCACTGCCCTTAGTTGCTGCTAAGAAGACCTGTTTAGTTTCACGAAGACGTGTAGTCGGTGTATGTGTGTGTGTGTGTGTAGTTCGGTGGTCGAAGTCAGTGGAGAATGGACCGTGTAACCGAGTACTTCGGGAAATCGACCCTCTCTGACCTGTCCAAAGCACTGGTCCCTCTACTTTCGTGGAAAATTAAATGGCGAATCACTTTTTAACTCGATAGTCATCAGTTTCGTTCGTGTATCGAGTCGAGTCGTGAGTAACTTTTATTTTTATTTTCGAAATTTATCTGAGTGCAAGATTATCAATTTGGTGAATTTTCAATGTTTAATGTTTACTTTAGAACCTAGTATTTGATTTGTGGTGTTGAATTGAAAGTAGTTGTGACGGAATTCGGAAATTTCGATAAAGTTGGAGAACACTCGTTCTTCCACTTTCGTGGAAAATTAAATGGCGAATCACTTTTTAACTCGATAGTCATCAGTTTCGTTCGTGTTTCGGGACGAGTCGTGAGTTACTTTTATTTTTATTTTCGAAATTTATCTGAGTGCAAGATTATCAATTTTGTGAATTTTCAATGTTTAATGTTTACTTTAGAACCTAGTATTTGATTTGTGGTGTTGAAGTGAAAGTAGTTGTGACGGAATTCGGAAATTTCGATAAAGTTGGAGAACACTCGTTCTTCTACTTTCGTGGAAAATTAAATGGCGAATCACTTTTTAACTCGATAGTCATCAGTTTCGTTCGTGTTTCGGGACGAGTCGTGAGTAACTTTTATTTTTATTTTCGAAATTTATCTCAGTGCAAGATTATCAGTTTGGTGAATTTTCAATTTTTAATATTCACTTTAGAACCTAGTATTTGATCTGTGGTGTTAAATTGAAATTAATTTAATTCGAATAATACACAGTGAAAAACTGCAGTACCTACAAGGGATTATCCTGAGCTTTACACAGTTAATGAGATTAAATAATCGTTGCCAAATATCGACTCATTCAGGAAGAAGTATTATTTTAAAATTGCCTGCCTCTGATTTTAACGAAGATGTATCTTATTAATGAACATTTATTAACGAAAACATATTTTATTAACGAACATTTATTAACACAGCAATTTAACTGGACGATAACCACCTTCACATTCATTAACTTTCATATTGATTACTCGCTTCATTTGATATGAGTACTTTTGTAAGTATCGATTATTTACTTGTATTTACTTGAATCGATTCATCCCATATTGTGACGCATTAGTAACAGAATGACGATTAGCTCTAAACAGCAGGAACAATTTTACGTTCTAATTATTCTTGCAAGACCGTTGCGTGTATTTTATCAACGGTTCATCAGTCCCTGCTGGCTAAACCACTACGCGTTCACCCTGGAAAGAACTCGGTGATTCGGGTTAATCACGCATTGATTAACTGCGGGGCAATCGATCCGCATTAATGCAAATGGACCACCCAGGCGGCGGCGGTCTGATCGCGTTACCGAGCTCCGCTACTTGCACCGCTAGCGGAACGTATAAATCAGACTTAACAGCTTCGAATCGCTACGTCTGACGTACAGCCTGCCAAACTTGACCCTCACTTTGAAAACATTTACGTAACTTCGATCCCCCCTCACCCACCGCCAGCTAATCACATATATAACCATTTTGGGTCATAAATTACACGAAACCCGAAACCTTGAATTAAACGACTTGGAAATATTTTTCCGTGAATTTCATTGATCTACAGACATTACGGGCGAGTCGTATCACATTTATGAACATAATAACATTCTTCGCTTACGCATATTTTTCCCTCAGTTTACACAGTACTTTTTGGTATAGAAGATCTCAGTTTCACTTATTTTTACAATTATAAGGAGTGCTTCTTTTATTGTCATTATTAATTGTAATTATTCATTGTACTGGTTCTTGCCCGTCAATTCTAAATAAATAATAATAACTTCCAAATTTACCATACAACGAGGAATTACTAAAATATTTCGACAGATAACATACGAATACACCTAAAAGATATTTTTTCCGTATTTTCCCGAAGAAATATAACTAACTTAAGAAAAAATCGAAATATTTATAGATCATATTTGGATCATATTTCGTTCCTTCATTGAACAGCGAAAACGGTAATGCTTCATCGTGGAAATCGATTAACTAAATAATAAAGCTCATTGGTATGCTTCTCGTGAGAACAAAAGCTTTATTTTTCTAAAAGGAAAAAAACTGATGGTTCGAAGGGTCTCAAAGAGGAGAACCAAAATAGAGGATAACGAAACTGACCTGAGGCTGAAAGACTGTTTCCTCGGAAACCATTTAACAGTTTTAATACCGTAAACAGAATAGTTTGAGGCCGCGTTGGAATGCAAATTTCCAGCCCTACTCGATGATCGTAAAACCATTTAAAAGGTGGGGGACCCGGTGGTCCGGTTATGCAAATGACCGCCTAACATTTTTCTTCGTTCCCGACAGATACTACCTGGCCACGACAGAGGGCGAGTCCGCGGTGCAGCATCTGTACCGGATATCCGTGCGTGGCGAGGACCGCAAACCGACCTGCCTCAGCTGCACAGCGGTCCGAGAAATGGACAGTAACCGGTGCCTCTACAACACGGCCAAGTTTTCCACCGATCATTCGCATTACGTGCTCACTTGCGCCGGCCCCGGGGTGCCTGACATCGCCATTTACAACAGGGTGAGTTCACCGTTGTTTGCCATCCGTGTCGAACACCCGTGTTGTTAGGATCGAGAGAGCCAGAGCCGCGACCGTTGTACCAAGTGACGCTGGGTATTTGCTTCCGTCCCCCCCCGCCTCTCCCTCGGTGATAGATACGGGTGTCAGTTTCATTTTTCAACTGTACCAGTTCGAAGGGGTGTGGTAGATTTTTATCAGCTAGAGGAGGTCAGAGAATTGGAAAAAAGGATCCTTTAGAAATAGAGAATTTAATCTTCATTCCCAAAAGAGGTTTGTTTGTCCCTTGTTTTGAAGAAATAAAAGGTTGTCGCTTCATTTGGAAGAATAATTTTAAGTGTCTAGTAAATGAAGAAATTTGTTTCCATGTGACGATGGATGCAATTATTTAGTTTTTCGAGTGTACTGTCCGAAAGGGGGAGGTAGATTTTTATCAGCTAGAGGAGGTCAGAGAATTGGAAAAAAGGATCCATTAGAAATAGAGAATTTAATCTTCATTCCTAGAAGAGGTTTGTTTGTCCCTTGTTTTGAAGAAATAGAAGGTTGTCGCTTCATTTGGAAGAATAATTTTAAGTGTCTAGTAAATGAAGAAATTTGTTTCCATGTGACGATGGATGCAATTATTTAGTTTTTCGAGTGTACTGTCCGAAAGGGGGAGGTAGATTTTTATCAGCTAGAGGAGGTCAGAGAGTTGGAAAAGGGAACCTTTAGAAATAGAGAATTTAATCTTCATTCCCAAAAGAGGTTTGTTTGTCCCTTGTTTCGAAGAAATAAAAGGTTGTCGCTTCATTTAGAAGAATAATTTTAAGTAAATTAAAGAAATTTGTTTCCATCTGGCAATCGATGCAAATGTTTAGTTTTTCAACTTCGATAATCGCAATGCTTCCTCTTCCCCGATGAAAGAAGTAGATTTTTCTTCTTGCGAAAACAGGGTCAAAGGATTAGCAAGAAGCTACTTTAAACGAAAAAAATTTAATCTTCCTTTCGAGGAGAGCTCTATTGTCTCTTTGTATCGAAGAAAGAAAAGCAGGCTTGGTACTTCATTCGAAAGGAACAAGTTTGCAAGAATAGTTAACTCCGTGCTGAAACTAGAAAACTGGCGCGGGTTTCGCAGTGTCGATGTCGAAAATTTCTTTCGTTTAAATTTTTCAACGGTACACTTCGGAAGGCCACCACAATACACAGGGATAGCAATTTTTGGCCAGTTTTTGCCGTAGCTGAATGGTTAAACAAGATAGAGAGACTACTTTCGAAAATATCCTGCAGAGTTCGGTTCACAAGTATTTTTTTCCTGTGTTCGTCGTTCCATGCGGGATACCCCAGCGCTATAATTCCATTTGACATATTACGTTCCGTTTCGGGTCCGCCGTCACCGTAACACTCCGCTATGTCGCGAAAGGTGCAAACTTCGTATATTACAGCAGCAATATCCCGCCATCCCTGGACTCGAATTCGTTCAGTTTGCACGTATGCGTAAAAATTTGTTTGCCATGGTCTCGACGAATTTCAATTCTGGGAACGTATTTGATATTAACATCCCGACATTCGTTTACGAAAATATCGATTCCATACGACAATTGGAGAAAGAAACGCACTTTCTTTCATCCCTCGAAATTGGTAATTTGCAAATTGCCATTATGCAAATCCATCCGCAAGAACAGAAATTTAAATTTCGTCGAATCAACTTCTTTCTACTCACTGAACCGGCTTTCCTCGAAGTAATTTTTTAACGCTCGATAAAGCAGCGCATTTTTTCGGCCGCGTAATTCGGCAGATAATTCCTCTCCGTGGCACCCTCTTCTTCTTACCCTTGTTTCGGGTACGGACCCTATCACCGTTTGCTTAATGGCGGTGTTCAACGGTTTCGCGCCATTTTTACAAGCTTGCACCCCGAAATAAATTACGACAAATAACTTTAGAGTGGGGTCAGAAGCGTAGGTGGTGGCCTTTCCAAGAATTCGGACGGGGCATTCGTCTAATTTTCCGCGGGAAAACGGGGTCTAATGAGTTCCGAGGCGCCGCGTGTCTGCGACAGAATCTACTCTCCAGGGACGGGCTTTTACGTCTGTGCGCGTCCACGTCCCCGAGTAGACTCTCGAGAGTTGTACCCACCCTCGAGAACCGAATCGAATGCCAGTGGAAAGCAAGCTGTCGGAGGAGTTGCTCTCGAGATCTATATACACCGGAGAATTCTATGCTCGCTAGGAAAAGTCTGACGTGGACACGTACCTTAAGCACAATCGGTCTCGCAGCAGGTAGGATAGGGTGGGGCTAAAAATCTGGCGGGTTAAAAGTCCTGAATTTAAAAGTCTTCATTCGTAAACGTCGATCAAATATTGCATCATAATAATTTAAACGGGCATTCATGCGGGTCGTACGATGCCTTTGTCATTATTTACCACGCAGCCAACATCCCACCACACACAAGACTGACGCACGATGTGCTCTGGGGCCCAACAGTTAAACTTTTCTCTTGTTTGTCTTTTCTTTATGTAGAAGCAACTTTGTATTTTTATACATTTAAAAATTAAAATATTCTTCACTTTTCCATGGGGGCCTTTACTGTTACATTGCATGTGTAATTGTGTGTTAAAATTAAATAGTCTTGGACCAGCCCGTTGCTCATGGTAAAAATGACTCGGAGTTGCTGGTAAGTCATATGAAAAATTGCTCGGAGAGCAAATGGTTAATAACTAAACGTATGTTTAGTGGGATGTTGAGTGCGCGGTTAACACTTTGTGATGTATCTTCAACCAATATCTGTTGCAAGAAACGAAGAGAAAAATCAGAATACAATACATACTACAGTGTTGCGTCGATTATTGTCAAAAACTCGGGTCCACGCCGCGACAAACACCAAACAGAAGAAATGCTTCAGACTTTCGTAAATTTATTTTGTACCCGAAGCAAAGCAGGGGTCCAACAAAATATACGCGTGACAGGTTTCACGCCCCCCCCCCCAGTAGTGGGGATGGCGCCTTGACAAAAATCGTGTAGAACCAATCCTACAGTGATCGACGGAATACTGTACCAGTCATAAATCGAAGAGTAACAAAAGTTTTTCGTGATTATCTCGGAAACTAAGGCTGAGCGGCAGTAACACGTATAGAAAAAAGCTGTTCATAATGATGGCCTTGACAACATAGTTGAAGGTCATTGAAGCCAGGACGTCAAGCTTCTAAATAATTACTAGATTACGTTATTCGCAGATAAATACGCGGTGGAGTTGATACGTTATTCGCGATTCAGTGAAATCCCATTCGATCATTGGAAGTCGCTGCATAAGCAACCACATATCCGCCCGATAAATCGTCGATCTCTTCCACGCGTGCCACGGTTATTTGTCAGTGTCCCGGAAGCGGCGGCACTCAACCGACCTCACGCGCCGGATCTATGTTTTATGCCGGTGCTTATTGTTAGAAACGTCCGCGGTTGGTGGAAAAGTAACAAATCGACGGGACAGATTTTTTGACACACACACGCACACACGAGAGACCGAATCCAGGGTAAAAGGGGTCGTGGCCCCGCGCGCACAGTGGGTGGCGAACAAAATCTAAAGCGAACTGGCTGGTGGATCCTCGATATTCGAAGTTCTTGCGACTCCCGCGGATTTTTCCTCGCTGCGTTTCTTTAACCCCCAACGGGAGGTTTCTCCACGCCCTGGCGAAGGATTTTATTTCGAAAAACGATAAAAAAAAAAAAAAAGAACTGGCTCTCGAAACTGTAAGCCCGTGAAATGAAATGAATTGCTTTTATGAAAGTAATTGAATCGATAATTCAACTTCCCTTTTTTGGGGTGGTATCCTTCCTTCTGGATTCTTTTGCTGCACGTTTTGGTTCCAGTAAACTCGTTCTTTGTCCGGTGCATTAATTTAATTTTTGATGTCTGGGTTCTTTGGCTTACGATTGGTTTCATTCCTGTGGATTTGCCTCTTTTGTGGCATCTGCTAACGGATGGACGTTCATTTGAAATTATTCCACGGCGATGTCGAAGGATTTCGAACTGTATTTCGTTGTATTATGCGCACACCCGTCTGATTTCAATTAAACCGTTCGACTATTTCGCCCAGTGGGGCCGCGAGGCCGTTAATTCATTCGCGGGTGCAGGTTCTCCATCCGGCCGTTGCTGTGTTGAAAACATTTAAATGAAAATTGAAGTTTTTCTCCCGCTGCCCCTCGATATACCCGACGTTTTTGTTTCGACCACCTCCCGTTCGAATTTCAATTTAATCTCTTGTTTTTCTTCTTCATCGGCACATAACCCTCGAGGGATTTTCCCATCGATCACCGCCAATATTCTTGACGTGCTTCTACCGACGTTGAGACGTAAGTTTCGTTAAAAATATATTCATTTATTCGTCCACTGTCGAGAGCGTGTCCGTTCGTCCTGTTCGACGAGGAACTGCTCGATAAATCGTTGCTGCGGTGTGTTTGTTTGTGTGTGTTGTTTTTTCTTTTTTGGTCACCGCGTGGTGGCCCCAGTGACGAATAAACAAGCTGTAAATTCAAACGATGCGTTTTACAATCGTTTGACAAATTGTTGCGGGCCCTGCGCCGAGAACAACAATTCGCCGCGATGGAATCACGTTTCATCGTACACGAGTAAACAGAACATGAAACTATGTTATCAGCCGGGGTTACGAATTAAATAAATTTTCCCGCCGTTTAACAAACAGACAAACACAATTCGACCAACGGCCCCACACACGTATTGTGTACGAGTCCTGTTCCGGTGTCCGACAACGATTAAACAGCGAACAATACGAATCCGTTTATAGTGATTCATTCGATTCGAGGTCGTTCGTAGAGATTCGAATTCGGATTGTTCGACTCTTATAGTGTTATTTTGGTTGAAACTCGATTTTGTATACAGGGTCAGTCAATAAGAATCGAAAATAACTCGTTCTCTATTGGTTGAAAAACGTTTTAATGAATTATGTAGCATTTTAATTTATTTATATTTTATTTTTGTTGTCATATTACGATGACCTTCCGTTTTTTCAAGGTCAATGCATCTTTCTTTTCATACCACATTATTATCGGTGGAAGAACGAGTTCAACAACCGATAGCATAATAGTATTGAACCTAATTGAGGCTTCGTTTTCGAGAGAATCAAATTTAAAAATCTGCTAGATACGCGTCCAGTTGAATACGAATTGCATTCCGTTTCTACTTACTACCATGTAAAATACACGCGTTTCAAAATTAACGTTCAAAGGCGATTTTCTCCAAAACCATGTCTCAAATGGAAAAATGTCATTCTATATTTTCAACTTAATTTTTCCCATAGAATCATCTCAGGCTCGCTTGTACATAACTTTCAGAGGTACTCCGTATTTTCCCTGGTCTGACTGTAAATGATTTATTCTACTTGCTACCGGTACTCGTTCAGATTCTAACGATCGTTTATACAACTTTTCGCGACAGAACAAAACGAAATCCGACAGTCGTACATCTCGAAGATTTAACGCTGCGGACTGAGGATTTATAAGTCCTGAGGGCCACGGGACTAAAAGCCACCGCAGGGGACTCGACGAATCAGTCGATCCGACAGAAGATTAAACGCGCGGAATAATACATTAAACTCGACAACGGCGATTCTCTTTCTCTCTGTCTCCGCGAAACGTAAGAAAGCGTGCCGTTGCGTGCTCGACGTTGATGCATGGAGGCTTAAAACTTGCCCCATCCGTTACTAAGATCGCCTCGACTGTGGGGGGTGCAAAGCCCTCGATTGCGAATCAGAAGAGTGACGGCGTGTCGTTCGTTTTCGCGGTCGCGACAAATCGGGATGAAAAGTCGCTGTTGAAAAAGAAATTCAAGAGTATAGTCCAGGATTCAAATTGTTTCGTGTCGATCTTCTGACTCGGCGGACCCTCGTTAATGAAATTTCTACCCCTTTAACCACAGTTCCATCGAATCTGTGGATATCGAAACTCATCTTTGGTCAAGCCATATAATATTTGAAATGAAAATTCTCTTGAAGAAATGCGAAGAACAATAAGTTTTCCTAATCGTTGTTGTATTTCTATACAAATAATAAGAATAGAAATTATTCTCTGCTTTTTAACGCATTTCGAAGTCGGTCCACATTTTTGAGAAAAAAGTCTCTTTATTTTATCATTAGTTAGGCAGTAACCGTAAAGAAAAAATCAAAGGGAACTACTTTGGACTGTTTTGAAGGACATGATTTGTGAATGAAAATAATAGTTTACAATAAACAGAAGAAGTCAGATATTTTTTGCGAACGAAACCACCGTAAGAACATTCTTTACGTGATGCAATAGGTTAGATCTCGATTGTTCCAGTATAAAAATTATAATATTATTATTATTAGTCTGTCAAATATAGATCACACTATTTTTTATCGTTCCAGAACATCAATCGTGACCACTAGACTATAGAAGCTTATTCAAATTCACAATGTATAAAAATTAAAAATAGATGGAATTTAAAATCCTGTATTCGTGGCATTACTACGATAATGACAATACTTAAATGGTATTGAACTTCATCAAAACCTTTATTTTAATACGTTTCGCAATTTATTTTAACCTGAAGTTATTTTAGCAGGAGTTAAAGAGGGCTTTGAAATTGCAATGACTAGAGTGTCCACGAAACCAGCGCGTTCTAATCAGACAATAATAATCTCAAACGCGTTCCAAGAGTCATTCCCTTAACGCACTACACCACCGCACTTGAAGTCCACCCCTCGAGAAAAATTCCATCTCTTTGCACCCCATAAAGGATCAAGCATTCAAAGCCCGACCAGCGAAATATTTCCACTCGAGGATTATTGGCGGAGCTGGGCCGCGAACCCAAGAACAAGACGCTACTTTCCGTTCATCGTTTCCCCCTTAAGAGAAGGAAATTAGTTCTTCCGACGTGGATCTGAACGGAAGGAGTGAACGGTGCTTGTCCGCGAGGAAAGCCGATTACCAGTTGTAATCGTTCGCCGTCGAACTCGCTGATAAAGAGGCCGAACGTCGAATCGTCGTCCCCACCCCTACTTAGCCACCCCTTTTTTTTTCCACGCCTTCGTTTTCGTCAATCGCGATAGACGCTCGCCTCGCCGCCTCGGTTCCTTTCAATTCCACACCGTCGGCCCTTTCGACGCTTCCTCTCGGTCTTTTTCGCGATAATCTAATTACGAGCAAGATGATCGAGGGAGGGTTTTACCCACCTCCTCCTTACCCTTCCCTCGAACGAAAACGTGCTATATTGCCTTTCGATCGCAGAGCCGTGCTCGTTTAGTCCTCGCACCCCTTTCCATCAGCTTCGCAGCTCTCGATGAATTTGAATCACGACTCAAGAATTCAACCCCCGGAATCAAGTAGTGCTCTTTTGAGGTCTAGTACAGCCATACTCAACCGTTTTCTTTCTCGAGACATATACATATTTTTGTTACGTTACGCGGTCCGCAACATATTACACTATAGCTTATAATATAATAATGTAAAAAATTCAAACTCTAAACCTAAATGTAACCAACCGTTTATTGAAAAATAAGTGTGATTTTTTTTATGTTAAGACAAACTTTTGACTATTTTAGGCGCATCAGGTTTATAATTGTAATATGCTGCTCGCAATACGTCATCGAAGTGAGAATCGGTAAGCCGATTTTTGTACAGGTGGATTCCGCTAAGTGTGCCACCTAAATTGCTTGTGATCTGTTTGTTGTACGAAAAAATATTTCAACAAAAAATTGTATGGTATCGAAAAGACTATAGGATGTAATAATTAGTTTGTTGCTATTTCAATTTTTTTACCGACATATGAAGATCACCTTAAGAGTGTTGGATTCTGAGTAAAAAACTATTAAGGTGTATGGGTCTAGAAATAAATAGTTACCCAGATATTATTCTTTAAATGATTTTTATGGCATGTGATGCTTGAACCGAAGATTTCTAACAATTGTCGCAGAAATACGCTTTCAATGATACAATTTATGGCTGGTCTAGTACTCACTGTTTATTGAAACCGAGACGTGTCGAGAAGAAATGGGCGGGCAGAACTTTTGTTGCGCTCGTTCCGCTACTTATACCATGAAAATGGATACGGATGGCCGTGCGAGTGAAACGATGGTATCCATTGGATAGGATATAGCGTTTGGATCTTACGAAAATGGTTCGAAAGACGACAATGTTTCTACTCGGTAGATTAGATCGATACGGTCCAATGCGTCCTCCCTTGTGTTTTATTAATGAATCCTAATAAAACACCAGGGAGGACGCATTGGACCGTGAACTTAATTATCAGACTTATTAGTAACATTTCAGAGAGATTCTTTGAATATTCGCGAAGTATCGATTTGAAACTAGGTTTACAAACATTTCTTGTATAAGATACCTATTTTTAAGGACACCCGTGATATTGACGAGTAAACAAAAGTACGTAGTAGTAAAGGGTGTCTAAAGATTATTTAAATAAAAGGTATACCGATTCGTTTAGGCCTACAAATCCGTGCGAAAATTGTTTTGAAAATATAAATTTTGTACGAAAATTCAATTGTGGTTTAAGATTAAAATCTTTTGTGGTTTAAGATTTATATAGCCACTTACATTGAAGGGTCGGCTCTGATAAAAGGGTTGATTTCTCCCTTAAAGTAGAAAACGGGCACGAACGAATAACCACTAAATTCTTAAATACGTCTAACGAACATTTATACAAAGTTGTCAAGGTCACCGGGGTTCCCTTGTTAATACAGTGTGTCCTACATATGTACCATATAAATATTGAATAGTTACTTTTAGCACTTTATACATTATCCAAAACAATTTTCTTACAGTTTATAATATCAATAAACGTTGCCCACACATAGGTAGGTCATAATTTGTATTAATTTCCTTCTATACAATTCTCAAAGAAAATTTACATTTTTCCCAAATCTGACTGCCTAGTCCCCCTTAAAATTGCACACTCTGCGTCCTGTTTCTCCGTTTTACAGGGATCCCCCGAGGCGACGACGATCAGTTTCTCATTAAGTAAAACGGCAAAATAAGGGTCAATTAAGGATCGGAAATTGCGAACGTCTCCTGGGAAGATATCGCATTGGGTTGAGGAGGAATGCTTTTGAGTATCGATTGCCGGATGGAAAGCGAGTTTTTCCCTGCGTTTCAGATAGATATCTCGCAGGTCCCAGCGTTCGTCGTGGATACTTGGAACGGGTCGTTTACATTGATATCGAGTTGCGACGACGACGAGGCGAATCGAGCGTTTCGTTCCGATTTATTGACAGTCGATAGATTTCATGGGGAGAAAGAGAGAGAGAGAGGGAGAGGTGAACGGGGTCGCGTTGCTCTTATTTCCTGAAATAATAACGATGTTTATATTTCGTTCCGTGCTCCTGTTAACGTTAATGTGAAGCTCGACTGCTGCTGGACTGGTCGATGAATCTCGGGTATACCCTGAGATATTATTCCCGGTTATGGAGAAAAATTCCGAGGGAACCTGTTTCTCGTCTGGAAACGTCTACTGGTCTGGGCACTAATCCAAAATTAAGATTAAATTCCCACAGAGACACGAAGCACACTCACGTACACGGAGAAGTCTCTTTTCAGAACTCGAACAAGCTGTTTGCGTGGGAGAACAACGAGGCAGTTTCGGAGATCATCGTCGAGAAATCGCAGCCGATCGTGCGCCGTTACAATGTCCCGGTGCCCGGTGGGTTCAAAGCACGGGTTCGACTACTGATCCCGCCCGATGCTGACCTAAGCGGTGCCACGAAATACCCGATGCTGATCTACGTGTAAGTACCCTGACGTGATCACGGATTCGACGATGTAAACGGTGGAATCGCGACAATAGGTGGATCCACGGTTTCACGGTGGAACTGGCTAGAGTAGAAGTACATTGCGAAGTAAGTCCGAAAAACATTGCTGCAATATTTCCGCACTTCCTTCTGGAAATACTAGGTCTCATATTAGGCACATGCTTTATGTTCGGTGCTGTTCTCTATCCCAGAGATCTACTCTATCCCAGAGATGGAAAAATTCATTACCTAGATAAAAAGTTTCGAATAACGAGTAAAAGATAAAAAAAAAAAGTACTTCGGCGTTGTTAATCGTTTAAACATGGAAATTCAAATTTAAATAACAAAATAATACTTTTTCCTGATTGAGTCTACATTTGGCGAACAATTATTTAATCTCATTAACTGTTTAAAGCTCAGAATGGTGCCCTTAGATACTGCAAGTTTTCACTATTATTCGAATAAATTGTATTATAGTTATTGTTATTAATAAAATTCTGCTCAACTCTGGTTAAAATATAATATATTAATAAAAAAAAGAACTTTATATTCATTTTCCTTTGATACAAATAGGTATCGATACTTTTTTTTCCATACAAGTTATTCGAATAAAATTGTGCTCAACTCTGCTTTATCCCCTCTACCATCTACGGAGTTTATAATTGGTATTTCACACTCGATCGAACAGACTAACAACGTTCGTACAATTAATCGTAAATACATTGATCTGTTTACTCATCGGTTCAGATCTTTATATAATATTCATTGTTCATAATTATCCTGTATTAATGACATCGAGAGATTATAGAGTTAATTAAACGATGCACGATCCAGCATGTATCGCGTCCCGATGATGTTTTTCATCGATTCTATAACTACTCTCCGTTTAGAATCGATACTCTCGAATAATTACAAAGAATTATTATCGATTAGCACGGTCAGTTAATGTTCTGCCTACGAACTGCACCGTATTGTGCCAAGTTTAATAGAAACATCAGGCGAAATTTGCACGAATGACGACAGTCGCGACCATAATGAGCGTATAAAATTCATACCGTAGGAAAACCTATGTACAGGGTGTAACAAAAATATTGGAGGACCCGGAAATGAGAGACTCGTGAGGTGATTTGAAACAAGTTTTTCCTTAGCAAAAATGTTATCCGAGGCTTTGTTAACGAGATATTAACGAAAAACCCCGACCAATCAGAGCGCGAGTCTGCCAGCCGAGTTCCCGCGGTAACGTTGGTTACGCACTGCGATTCGTAGACAACGTTACCGCGGGAACTCGGCCGACAGACTCGCGCTCTGATTGGTCGGGGTTTTTCGTTAATATCTCGTTAACAATGCCTCGGATAACATTTTTGCTAAGGAAAAACTTGTTTCAAATCACCTCACGAGTCTCCCATTTCCGGATCCTCCAACGTTTTTTGTTACACCCTGTATACACTCCAACCATGTAAATTTATTCCCGTCGTATCGTGGTTCATCATTCGAACGATTCCAATGCAAATGGAGCGATCGTCACTTGTCAGGTGGCGGCAACGAAAAAGTATCGGACGTCTACGGGTCTAATGACTTGCACGATTCCTTACTTTTCCCCGTCGTCACGGGCCAGGAATTTATACAACAAGTTATAAAGCGTTTCGCTATTTACCCGTGGATTATAAATATTTATACCGTTTCGCCGAAGACTTCACCGCGAAATCAATTCATCTCGTCGATCCTCCCTGGAGTTGTTGCCGCCATCTTTCCTCGCCATTTTATAAATATCGTCGGATTTTTACAGAATTGTTCGCAAGAATAAAGTCACCGTTCGTCGCGTGAAAAAATCAGTTATCCTTCAATTAGGAATCCGTTTGTCCGACTGTCAGTTCCGCGAATAAATCCAATTTCCCGCCATTTTTATCATTCCACGCGTCAATCTTCCGTCCGGGTGAAAAATCACGAGAGCGGCGCCGAACCAGAGAGAGGAACGGAAACATAAAAAATCTCGACATTAATTCGCGTTATTCTACGGTCCTCTTTTTTTTTTTATGAAATCGACAGTTGTCGATAACTGTGAAGAAGGTTAATCCTTTGACTGCGGCGCATTCACTCGCACGAAATGATCGATATACACGGCGCCATATGTTCGTTAAAAAAAAAAAAGAAAAAATCTAAACTCTATGTTAGATCAGTTTACTAAAACGATAAATGTGTTATAGTAAGAAAAATTTAGATAGCGTATACAGTGTGTCCGAAAATAGGTGTAAGTCCTTCAAAGGAGTATTTCCTAGTGTGATTTGAAACGACTTTTTCCTTGGCGAAAGAGTTCTCCGAGACTTCGTTAACAAGGTATTAACAAAAAACCCTGGACCAATCAGTGATCAAAGAAATCAAGGTAACCTTGAAATCTTTGATATGCCTCCATCCACAAAAAAAGGACGTACCTTATAAGGTGTTCCCCTTGATGCCATTTAAGTTACACGCCTACAAAATATTCATAATAAGTCAAATTTTCATAATAAATCATATTTTCATAAGTCATTATTAGACCGTTAAGTCATTATTCGGGATGATCAAGTTAACTGAGACACCGTGTATATACGTTTTTCGTAGTCAAAAAGTTAATTCATCGCATCGGCAGATTTCAACGATTTGCGAGCGACTTAACGGCGCCTGATTTCACGCGACCGCGGCTTTTGTTTCGTTAGACGTTATTTTCTCGTATGCAAATACGGGCGCGCACGCGCGCGGCCGTATGAATACGCTTTAATGTCTCTTTGGAACGGATGCGTATTATTCGTCGGGGGTTGAGAGGTATAGAGAAAGAGAAGAGAAAAAAAATAGAAAAAGAGAGCCGTGGGAAGGAGAAAGCGGCGCGGCATCGCGCGTCAGCCGCAGCGTATCATTTATCAAAAACTTTTTGCCAAGGGCTTTCTATTCTATTAAAAGGTGTCGCGAAACGTCGGAAATATCGCCGCGAAATTCATTCGCCTCTATGTAAACTACCGCCGTGGATTTTTATGGAAGTTGGTGGACCCCCTCCGGTTTAATTCCCCTTTCGAAAATGGATATTAACGGTTCGGATCGTCGTTAATCCGATGTCGTATTCAACGGGGGCCGTTAGACGACCCCTTCGGAGAAAAAAAAAAATGAAAATCAAAGGGTAATTTCGAATCGATTCCCGTGCACACAAGTGACTTTTTCACACGGTTGTTCCTTCGTTTCCGTGACTTTTTCATTGAATGATCGCGAACTGTGAGGCCGACGTAAATGTTAGGAATTTAATTTGTTCGTTCGAAATTCACTTGAACCAACTGGACGTGAATTATTATTTGATTTTTGGAAAATTAAGAAGTTTTTTGAGCGGGCTCTCTGCTGGTACAAATATAAATAGCTCGTCAGGTTCAGCGATTCAATTAAAGTAGGGAATCGAATCATTCATTGCGTTCGGTTAACTCCATAATCAGTTCATAATTCTAACCTATGTATATGCTTTTTGAAAACATTTCAATGACAATTAAAAAAAAAAGTCTGAATAATTTATAACCGTATAAACTGATATCACCAGTAAATGGTTTACATGCCAGCAAAATTTTGCGTGCGTGCCATAGGTTCGCCATGCCTGGTCTAGTATACAGGGTGCCCCATTTAAATTGATCCCCTCGAATATCTCTGAAATTATTTCTGATACCGGAAAGTGTTTCAAACAAAAGTTGAATGGTATCGAGAGTGACATAATTTGATGTCAATAGTTTTTTTGTAGGTGGAGGCGTAGAAGCTATACGATGGTCAACTTTATTTTTTTAAATGGTCATTCACTGTCACAAATTATTTACCCTATGTATACCGAAAAACCGTTAGTTTGGGAGATATTTTAACTTTTATTACAAGATAACACTCTATTCCAATGTAGCTATTACTCGTGGAATTTAACAGGATCGATTTAAATGAGCACCCTGTATAATATAGAAACCTGTATATTATAACACAAAGTTACTTTCAATGTTTTATTCTTTCTATTTTAATACATTATTTCATTCCCCTCGCAGTTACGGTGGTCCAGACTCGTACCAAGTCACGGAGAAATTCAACGTCGACTGGGGCACGTATCTCGTGACAAACAAGAGCATCATCTACGCGACCATCGACGGCAGGGGTTCCGGTTTAATGGACAACGGGATGCTGTTCGCCGGATACCGGAATCTCGGCACCGTCGAGATCGCTGATCAGATCAACGTTACCAGGTGAGCCTCGTTCACAAAGTGAAAAGAAACTCCCCGTCCGGTTTAGCATATTCCGATACAGTAGTTCGGGCTCCGAGTTCCGTTCTTTTCGCCGGGGCCCCAAGTGCGGATAGAATTCTAATTGCGTTCGTTCTGTGTACCACAGGATGCAAATTTCGTCCCAATTTTACGGGCATTTCCAATTCTGTAACACGACTTCGCGACGCATCTCGATCGCAGAACACGCTTTTAATCTCGTTACTCCGTCTTCTAGGCGGCCGGAACGAAAAGGTACCTTTTTTTATCTCGACGAATTTTGTAGCCCTCGTCACGATATTACTCTTTTTCCTTTGCCCTTTCATTTCCGAATTATTTAAACATTACCAAAGACTAGATTGTTGTATTTTTGTGTACATTACGTGACATATAAACGAGACACCAGAAGATTTTACCATTTTGAGACCGTCTAATATCGCTTTTTCATTCGTTGCCGTTCGACAATTTTTTGTTACTTTTATCACAGTTGTACATAATTCCCATTATAATGTTATTATACATAACGAAACCCAATTTTTCGTACCTTTAACACTAGAACTGCCAGCATCGAATGTACACTAAATTAAATTGTATTATATAGTAATATGCAGAATATATAATGAAGTCTAGTATTACATATTGCAATATAAAGTTGTACAGCAAATTAAAAGCCAAAATAAATTCCATCAAAAGTACTATTATAATTTCAGTAATCGTAAAATAAGAAATCTGCAATCCGTCATTTTGACATGTTTGGTAGTTCTAGTGTTAATCAACAAACCCTCTTGAAATATTTGAAAGACATTGAAGTCTTAAGTTTTTATTATATTTCTGACAATGCTCAACGCCTGAATTCCATCAAATGAACGCGGCGAAGGAAAAGTAATGTCTTGTTTTACCGAGAAACTTTTAACTGCACATTTATGCCATACCATTTATTCAAGACTAGAAGAAATTATTATATACTCATATATATGAACACATACATGTTACTAATATTTTATTTTATAATTCAAAATACCTAGCTGTATGGTAACAGTGGAAACGAAAGGGTTAAAAATACGCCTGTCCTCTTGATCCCCTGTTTCATGCGTGGACGATTTAACGTTACACGGGAAACAGCCACAAAATGTTCAGTCAATTTTCGGTCGCTCGGTAATCTATATATACATATATACGTCGGGACGAAGGCTGTACTTCCGCGGGGCCATTTTGTAGCACGCGAAGAATTGCGGCGCCGGCATGGTGTTCCGGTGGCAGGCCGATTAAAATGCAAATAGATCACAATTTTATCGTATCATTGTGTTATCCCTGGCCTGCTTTGATCGCGAACACCGGTCCTAATACCTTTCTTCTACCTATTTACATGTAAAATGTCCCCGGCGCAATTTATCGAGTACCGAACGGGCATGCGCCACCCGTTAGCTGTTTTAAATGCAAAAAGACGCATTGCCCTTGTTACTCTATGCATTTTTAATGCTCGTACGTCAACAAAAGGGCTGACGTTCGAGCCGATTTATATTTATGCGAGGGGTCTGCTTTTAGCGATCCCGCACCCCCCTCTTTCCTTCAATATTCCGACTGACGTCGAGATAACTCGATTTATGACGGTTCCGATAACTCCTCTACAATTTTTCTTTCCTCCCTGGGAATAATTTTCTTTCGAATTGTTTTTTTTTTTAATTTGTTACACTGCCCACATTGCATCCCCCCACCCCCCATACCGATTAATTTCTGTTTCTCTTAACTTTCATCCGTACCGTGTATCTATACGCATAGAACTATCCGTAACCAAACTGCTTAATGAACTACGGACTGTTTACGGTCCTTTCACACACAGAAACCTTAATGAAGCTCGACACCGAGGAAAGAAGAGTTTCTCCCCGAATTAGTCCCCGTGAACTTCCACGAATCCCGTAACACGAGCAGCAAGTGTAGGGTAAATTCAGGGGAGACACCATCCTTTTTGGTTGAGAGCCAAATAACTTCTTTGGTTTCTCACTAATTAAATACGATACTTTTTTTTATTATATTACACTCTAAACATTTATTAAAATTAATTTTCTCCTAATGAAAAGCAAGTAAGATACTAAAGGTAATCACGTTTGGTGGTACACCCTGTATAAGGATTTTTAATGTTTCCTTTAATTTTGCACGCAACATATGTAATTATCTTTCTCCAGTCGAAAAACAATACAAGTGTGGCGTCTCTCCTGAATTCACCCTACTTATAGGGTGTTGAAAATTCTATGTCACGGCTACCATAACGTTATTCTTCACCTCTGGATCGGTAGAGATCTGTAAAAGAAAGCCACCGCAAAATTTACCTTGAACTTGAAATTCAAGGTCAACTTCTTTTATTATTGCGTCGTATTCTACTCGTCATGACGATGAAAAAAGCGTTTTTTGCTTGGATTTTTCAGTGAAATGTAATAGCTATCTAAATATAATCGAGTCAGCGTACTCCCAACGCACACGTCAGCTGTCGCATATAGTACAGTCGCCGTAACTACGCGCAAAGGCCTGCTCGCGCAGTCAACTGGAGTCTTTTGTACGCAGTTAAGAAATTCAAGGTTCAAGCTCAATTTTTCGGTGACTTTCTTTTGCAAATCTCCACCAATCCGGAGGTGTAGAATAACACTATGCCAGCCGTGAGATATAATTTTCAAACATCCTCTATACACACGTTTCATCGTATAAAGCACAATCTCGCGATCCGAATAAATTCGTCGTGTGCGGGCCAATCTCGTTTGCCGAGAGGACGAAGAATCCGTAGCGCTAAGCTTCGCGTCGATTACTTCTCCCTCCGGTTTACCAGCGTCTCGACCGATGACACCCTGAGAAAATACGAGGCGCCGTCCTGAGGCCCGTCCAAGGGGATCAGTCTATAAATTCAGACTCTGAAGAGAAGGGGGGGAGATGAGGTAATACTAACCCGGCTTCTTAGCCGATCACCTGGGCGAAGAAGTTCATTTAAAAATGCGTGTAGTCGTCCAGCTCAACGGGAGAAACAACGATCGACACACGGTAGCGAGTTTGTCCGCCGGATTAATGGATTACCGCGTCGTCTCCTGCTCCGATAAGTCGAGTAAAAGGCGAAAGGACGTCGGGAAAGGCTCGACCCGTAATTAGATTTGCCGGTAAAGTTACCCGGGAAATTTCAAGAAACGCCACGGTGTCGTGTTCGTGCCGCGACTCGGCAACTCCACCCCGTGAACGCGTCCTCTCGAGCTTTGGCCGTTCGCGCGCTCTTTGTTCCCACGGCTGACAGGGAGAGGGTGGGGAGGGATGGTTAACAAAACTAGACAGGAGGAAGAGGAACAGGGGACATTTGAATTTCGAGGCTCGGAAAATGTGTGTGGAAACCATGGCCGTTGCGGAGAGGGGAGAAACAAAAAAAGAAGAACAGGGACCTGTCGTTTCTGCGTCGTTAATTTTGCACGCGTCGCTGGCCACGTTCCGCTCGGTGGTGAAGCTTCGGAAGCTTTTCGACCCTCTATTGGAATGAATGTTAGCGTTAGTGTATGTTAGTTACGTACCGATTCATCTGGTGATAGAAGAACGTGACGGAGAACTATGTCGTGAAACATGATGGAATAGGAAGACAGGAAGTATTGTGGGGTATGCTACCAGTAGGGATAAACCGATCCAAGTAAATATATATGAATAATTAATATTTTCGGTTGCGACATACAGGGTGTCCCGCGTAACATTTATCATGATTCTTTAACCACTTCCGGTGATCTGATGGAAAAGTATTTTAGACAAAAGTTGATCAGTTCTTAATCGGTTACATAGAAATGGTGGCCGTCCGTTTTATAGGAGGTTTCCACGAACTAAACACCGAAAGAGGATCAACAAAATATTGGACCCAGAGCCTGGAGAAATGGGGTGGAGGGGGAGGAGACTCGAATTACGAAAAGCGACTCTTTATCGCGCCGACACTCTGACGAGAGCTTATGCTCTACGGGTTATCGATTCCGTTCGGATATCTGAATGCAGGATCGGGATACGAAACGGCGGGATGGAAAGGATGCCGATGAAGGCGGCGGGTGCATTTCAACCGATATCCCTTCCCATCCTCCCCTTCTAACCCCCGAAACCGTCGCCGTCCCTGTGTGTATTCCACGTTGCAATGTTTTGCTGGCGCGTCGCCCCGCGTCCGGGCACACGTAAAAAGAGTAGAGCGACTCGTGAAATTGGACGGCGGCCAAGCGATTGCGGAATCAGCCAGCTCTCTTTAACCTTTGCCCTATTGCACGGGGCTGTTGTCGGCCCTGCCGCGTCCCTGTCACCGTTTCTCACCCACTTCTCTTCCACGGTTCAGACGCGCACCAACCCCCTCCCTATTTCATTTCCCTGTGTTCCTTTTCATCCCTTTTTCCCCCATCCCATCGACGTGCACTCTTCACCCCTTCAACCCACTCACGGTTTTGCCCTGTTCTTCGTTGGTCTCTTCGTTCTCCCACGACATTTCTATTCCATATCAATCTACCGGCTCGACAATGGGAACAAGGCTGGCCTACCAAAATGGCATCGATGGTTTCTACGAGAAGCTTTTTGGTATCATACGCGAGAAATAGTGGTTTTCATTGATATTTGGGTGAATAGGTCGATGGGTTAAGTGTTTGTAGAAAAAGGTGATCTTTGAGTAACAGTGTTCCTAATTTCGTCTTCCCTAGATTTGATAACCCTCGGAAGGCGAATTGTGTGGGACTGACGATGCAGACGAACGCAGGGTCAGTTTGACCCGTAGCGGAATTTCCACTGTATGTGGGATTCAGGAAGGAATTGTACGTAAAATTTTTTGTATATTTTCGAGTTTGTATGTTACATTTACATAGAATTACAAAGGAAGACTTGTAACAGCTTTTAATTGGTTGAAATATATTTTATAGTTTGCTTTTATACTGGATAGGTCAATAAGAGCTACTACCTAAAATAAGTCGTTACCTATTGATTGTACGAGAGAACGTTTTAATTGT